TCAAATTAATTTTTATTATGTATTTGAATGATGATCATGTAAAATTAATTTTTAAAAATTAATCATGTAATTTTTATTAATTTTTATCAATTTTACATAATTTTATTTTTGGTGGGCAGAAATAATTTTTAAAAATTTAAAAATATGTTTTTGACATTTATTTTTGTCAAATTAATTTATATTTTATCAAATTGATGATTTTGCCCTTGAAATTAAGTAATGGTACATTAATTATCTTTATTTAGAACAAGATTCAAAATTCAAGATCAAATGTGTCACAATTGAAAAGTCAGAGACTAAAGTGACACAAACCCCAAACTATAGAGATTATTAGTGTAATTTGCCTTTTAAGGCTTGGTTTGGGAAGTGGGTTGGCTTTTTGGTTTTTTGAATTTTTTGGCTATTTTAGCCTTGGCTAAAAAGCTTGGTTTGGGAAGGGCTTTTTGGCTTTTTGGCTTTTTTGACTTTTTTTGTGAGAGAAGAATGTAATGATTATAGGTTGGATGTGATGTTTTGTTTGTTATGGCTAAAATAGCCTATTTTATTTTTTGTGGCTAAAATAGCCAAAAAAACCTGAAAACTAACTTGCCAAACAGAGGCTAAGTTATTCATCTAGTTATAAATGGTAATGGTCTAATCTAGTTCTCCTCTGTTAGGCTTATTTTGAAAAAGTAAGTTAATTTTTTAATTTTTTTTTGTAAAAAATGTATAATAAATATAGAAATAATCACTTTGTTTGGTTCTTATTTTTAGAAAATAATTTTCAAAAAATCTTACTTTTTTATTTTTTGTATTTTAATATTTTCAATGATTTTTTTAATATTTTAATTATTTTTTTTTTAATTTTCAAACACACTTAACATAAATATACTTAAAAAAATAATATTTGTAAAAACAATCTTTAAAATATACACTAAATACCAAAAATACAATAAAAGTATGACAATTCGGTATATTTTTCATATTTCTGTATATTTATTTATTTTTTAAAATATTTTTCAAAAATATTTTACTATTAGATACATCTAAGTAAAGTGTATCTAAAAAAGTAAAAAAATTATTATAAATTTTAAAAATATTCACTAAAAATAAAAAAATACGAAAAATAAAAAAACTCAATTTTTAAAAAACTAAATTAAAAAAACTGAAATCAAATATACTAAATATAACCCAAAAAAATTTTAAAAATTAACTTTTAACCAACTTTTCAAAATATGTCATATTTGGGTTTCGGCCTCTTTTGGAAAGTAGGTAAAAGTTACTTTACAATTTTTAATCCATTTTAAGTCACATCATCTCTCATAATTTTTACATATTTAAAAAAAAAATCAAAAAGTCAATTTTTATTGACTATTTAGCATTTGAGATGTTTTTTTAAACTTTTTTAATTTTTATGAGAAAAAAAAATAATTACAGTTTAAATATGATAACTTTAAACCGAAGTGTAAAAAACTTATTTTATATTTTTATAATTAAAATAAGTCTAACCTAACCCAAACTCATGCCAAACCACTACTTCAAGGAGGTCGCACACCCCCTCGTTAGTGCTCACCCAACTTCAAGCGTAAAAATCTCTCTGTCTTACCCTAAAATGGTGTACAATTCTAAGCTCCCGTCTAACAGAAGCAAATATTAAATAATTAATAATTAATATTTTTATATTTAAATTGACGTAAAACCCAAATATGAGGCTATTACATTGGTATAGAATTAGTTAAGTATATTTTTCATCTTAAATGCATATTTTTATTTAAAAATAAATATAACTACATAAATTACATATTTCTGTACATACTAATATATATTTCATATTATATTTTAATAATTGAGTCAAACTGTATAGGAAAAAATATTTATAAGCTCAACCTGTTTAATATTTTTTTTTTCCTATTAAAAAGGAAACCTTACTATTTAGGGGTTATTTAGGAAGTATTAGATTAGTATATTTTTTTGATTTTGTATAAAAAAAATGTGAAATGTGAGCTGAGATTGAAATGACGTGATAAAAAAATGATATGACATAAATAAAAAGTGATATAATCTAAATAAGATAACTTGCTAAAATGATATGTATTATTTTACCATACACCAAACAAATCCATAATATTTAATAAAAGGGAAAATCGGTCTAGGGTCCCTCTTCCACTTTTCGTAATGGAAGAGATCCACAAAATTATTTTTTGATGTCTAAGGTCCCTAAACATATATCAGATGAAAGTTTCACCGGCTCATCTCTTTCCACTCACTGAAAGACCTCTCGATCGTCTTCAACACTGGACAATTCGATTTACACAAACTCAATTTGACCGATTCAATGATCGGAAACTCCGAAACCAAACTTCAATTAGAAACCCTAGGTTTGTCCGGGATTCAACACTGCGATTACGGCCTCAGTTGGCTCTGGAGGAGTTGTAAACAGCTCAAGAAACTCCAATTGCGAAGCTGCTATGCAATCGGCGATGAATCATCACTCTCATCGTTCGTCGAATGCTTAATTGGTCTCCAAGAAGTGGAATTGTGGACATGTAGGGCGATAATCAACGAGGTTCCTCTTCCTCCTCCTCTTTCATACATTTTCTCATTCTAGGGTTTCAAGTTTTTGAACCCCTTCAATTTCATTTTAATTCGTCATCCCCTGTTTTCCCTACTATTCCGTCAAGCTTTTACAGTCTATTTCATACACTTTGCCTACTCTTCTGTCCCTAATGCTTTAGATTTGCACCTTACAATGAACAAGTGTGATGATCAATCTGGGAAGCAAGATGCAAAAGAACAAGAAATGGAAGAGGAATTTCTCTGTGAAGTCCAGAGAAAATTCGACCAGAGAAATTCTCTGTGAAATGTGAAGTTCAGAGAAAATTGGACCAGAGAAAATCTCTGTAAACTAGAATTTCTCTGTGAAGTCCAGAGAAAATTCGACCAGAGAAATTCTCTGTGAAATGTGAAGTTCAGAGAAAATTGGACCAGAGAAAATCTCTGTAAACTAGAATTTCTCTGTGAAGTCCAGAGAAAATTCGACCAGAGAAATTCTCTGTGAAATGTGAAGTTCAGAGAAAATTGGACCAGAGAAAATCTCTGTAAACTAGAATTTCTCTGTGAAGTCCAGAGAAAATTCGACCAGAGAAATTCTCTGTGAAATGTGAAGTTCAGAGAAAATTGGACCAGAGAAAATCTCTGTAAACTAGAATTTCTCTGTGAAGTCCAGAGAAAATTCGACCAGAGAAATTCTCTGTGAAATGTGAAGTTCAGAGAAAATTGGACCAGAGAAAATCTCTGTAAACTAGAATTTCTCTGTGAAGTCCAGAGAAAATTCGACCAGAGAAATTCTCTGTGAAATGTGAAGTTCAGAGAAAATTGGACCAGAGAAAATCTCTGTAAACTAGAATTTCTCTGTGAAGTCCAGAGAAAATTCGACCAGAGAAATTCTCTGTGAAATGTGAAGTTCAGAGAAAATTGGACCAGAGAAAATCTCTGTAAACTAGAATTTCTCTGTGAAGTCCAGAGAAAATTCGACCAGAGAAATTCTCTGTGAAATGTGAAGTTCAGAGAAAATTGGACCAGAGAAAATCTCTGTAAACTAGAATTTCTCTGTGAAGTCCAGAGAAAATTCGACCAGAGAAATTCTCTGTGAAATGTGAAGTTCAGAGAAAATTGGACCAGAGAAAATCTCTGTTTTCACAAGTTGTTGTTAATATCTGTAACTTGTAACCCAGAGTTGGAATTATTTTTTTTATGTAATTACAAAAAATTTCACAAATGGAATTTCAGCATTACGCAACAATCAGGGCAATAGAGCATTTCACAAATGGGAATTTCTAATTTCTGTTAAGCACAAATGGGAGCCACTCAGAAATGGGAACAGCATTTCTGATAAAAAAAAAAAAAAAAAAATATGGAAGATCTGCATTTCAAACTATCCGAACAGATATTTCGAATTCAACACCAGATTTGCATTTCCGAACTTGTATATATACAAATCAGACCAACAATTTCTTCAACAGATCATATATTATATATATATATCAGACCACCAATTTGAATCAGATCATATATTATATTTATATATATATGTATATATACAAATCTGCCCCAAATTTGTTGGATGCGAACAGATTTCGAACATCACAACAGATCTAAAAGAGGAGATTTAGGGATGAGACAGATCGGTGGCCGGTCTGTGTATAATATCAGTGTAATCAACCCAATAACGACCGTGAGCCAACAGATCGGCCATGAACCGATGCTGTTATGAACATACACTACGCAGATGGGAAGAACAAACAACAAATCAAATAGGCCACAGATTCTCACCTGCAGATCGGTTTGAGTGTGCAAGAGATGGTTGTTGTTCGCGGCCGCTAGTTCAATCTCCGGTTGCGATTTGGTCTGCCAAGGTCGATCCGACCGCCTCCACTGCCTCCGTTCTTCTTCTCCTCTGCTCCGAAATGGGTGTGTATGAGCTCTAATCTGAGCGTCTGTTTGCAGAGGGACAGACTTTAGCCTCTCGGGGCAATTCGGTAAAATCGCGCGAGACAGCCTCGCCCAACACCCGCTCAATGGCGTGTTTGTCGTCACTTGGCTAATTAGCCTTTTTTGTCGTTTTTTGGCTAATTTAGCCTCAATTGTCTTCCCAAACAGACGCTTAGAACTTGTTCTCACTTTGATAAATTTTTTGTTTCATTCTCATTTTGATTTTAATTTGTTGAAATCATTAGAACTTAAAAAAATACATTTTTTACCAAGTTTTAAATATAATGCAAGATTTGATGAACTGTCAGTGATGACCTAACATCTTAAAATAATCCTGAGTGCCAAATGCGGTGTTTCAAATGACAAAAACTCAGGGCAGTTTCGTAATGTTAAAGTTGCTTACCCATTCACGCAACTGCACGTGTCAAAAAGATACGTAAAGATCAGATTGCCGTAACGTGTGGCCATCACACTACTCTCTCCCCCTCTTCTCCAAAAATATCTTTTAACCTCAAATATAAATTTCCACAAATCCCAGACCCAAAAAAATGGGAAAAATCGCTGCTACTTTACATGAAAAAATCACAATCTCAGCCTCGTATCACCGTACAACATGGCCTCAATCTCGAAAATTCACGTATCGCCGCCACTTCACTGCCACCGAACCACCGGCCAACCACCCCCGGTCCGCCTCGATTTTCGCCGGAATTTAGTCTTGTTCGAAACGACTTCGTTTATAGCGCAAACCAAAGGAAGGAGTAGAAGACTGCGTATGAGGTCCTTTAGGTCTGAGGAGGAGAGAGGGGAGGTAGCCGAGAAAGTTGAGGAAAGTGAGGGAAAGTGCGGGAAAGTGAGGGAAAATAATCAATTGAGGAGTAGCAAGGGGCTTTATGATGCTTTGGGTGCTTTTTTGCGTTTTCCATCGGAAGATAAGTTTCAGGATTCGTTGGAGAAATTGGAGGAGATGTTATTCACAGTAAGTTTTATTTTACTTTCCGTTTGGTTGCTGAGAAAGTTGAGGAAATCAGACTATTAATTTAAAATTCAACCCATTTTATAGTCAACTGAAGCTCAGCTGGGTGGGAGTTTTTTTTTCTCTCTTTTTTCTCCCGAAACCCTGAACAGTGAAAATATTTAACTTGTTTCCAATCCTTTCGTTTTGATGAATTTTCTAAGTCAATTAAGCTTGATTAATGTACTTGAGAGCTCTCACTCGTAGTCAAGAGTCAATTGGTCTTGAGTTTGATACGTTAACATGGTAATATTTTAATTATCAAGTGTGTGCACCAAAAAGTTTCTTTATCTACCCCAAAAAAAACTAAGGCAAATTGGAAATCAGTGGAAAGATCTCAAAAAAACAAAAAAAAAATTTGTAAAATCATGAAAAGTTTATCAGTCTTTCCACTGATTTGCAATTTCTCCAAAAAACTATTAGAAAAGTCAAAAAGTTAGGAATGTGCCAAAAAACTAAAATTTTTAAAATTAATTTTTTTGTAGGCTTATTTTTAGCTAATAAGTTCGATTTAACTTAATTCTTAGACAAAATGACAATTTTTTATTTATATTATCAACACTTAGCACGTAACCCCATCATGGAGAAACTTCACCAAATAAGCTAACTTGCACGTTCAAAGCATAATTGTTCTTAAAAAGCTGCTTGTGTTAATTGAATTTGTACAGTAGCAGCACACTCACTTCATATGCAACTCTAATGATTGTTGCTTTTGATGTGTAAGTGATTTCTAATTTAATTTTTCTTTTCCTCTCTAATATATGATAGATTGCCATGCAAATTGGAAGATACATTGTGACAATAATGAGTACCGGAGTAATACTCTTAGTTGGATTTCAGTTGTCAGGTCAGTGAACATGCTATTGTGTATTTGTGCCTCGCATAGTTGCTTCCATGTGTAGAAATTCATTTCAAATCAATGCATTTATTCATTTCAACTCGTCGCAAAATGCATTGATGCCTAATATTTATGCCAGCTATGTAAATACTTCATATCCAATAAGGGCTATCCATAACCTCATTCTCCATTAATTCCTAGGCAATCATATACTTACAATTGCCTCACATTCTTTTTGGCCTTCCTCCTATCCATTTGACAAGTAACTTGAAACAAATCTCTTTTATGGAGCATAGTTGCCTTTTTAAACAATAGTGGGCGTAAAGTTAATTTTTTTCTGTAATTATCGTGAAGGTGGAGACAGTCAGATGCATGATTTGATATGGTATAGCTGGCTTGGAGGTGTCATTATTGGAACAATGATAGGAGCCAACATGGTTTTAGAGGAAGTCAGCCGAGCCGGTCCACGTAATGTTGTCATAACTGGAAGGTATCCCCCTCTCCAATCCAACGGTTTACTTCACTGAAAAATTCTAGCTTTCTGTATATTTTCGTTTGGGTTACATCTTTGAGCAACCTGTCAACTATGCTCAAACTTATACACTCTTGCCCCTGGTGTCCTGTAATTCATTTTCCGTTGGGGCTGGTTCCTTTAAAGCACTAATCTTTAAAAATTCTCTCTCTTGGATGTAACTGGTACCTGCTTAGATTGCTGACTAAAAAATTGGTGATATGGACAAAGTTTTGTTTCTGTATTATTGATTTCTTATGTTAATTGGATTATGTAGTACAAGGGGATTGGGGAAAGCTCTTGCTCGTGAATTTCTTCTTTCTGGAGATCGAGTTGTTGTTGCCTCTCGCAGGTGGTGCCCAGAATTATGGAATTTTTTATTCATGTATCGTTATTTAGTTTTGTTTCTGTGGTCATCATCTCGTCTGTCTGCCTTCCACAATACCTTATCAGTACTTAATCTTGTGAAGGCAGTTCCGAGTCTGTGGATATGACTATCAGAGAGCTTGAAGAGAACCTGAAAGAAGGTATGGTCACTGCAAGTGCCTCATCTGGGACAAATCTGGCACGTGCAAAAGTAGTAGGCATTTCATGTGATGTTTGCGAACCAGATGATGTACGGAAATTGGCGAACTTTGCTGTCAGTGAACTTGGTTCTATTGACATTTGGGTGAGTGATCTTGAATTTCTGATTGATTTTTATCATTTAGAGCTGGATGCTCATTTGAAGACTTAGATATGATGTCAGAAAAAGGAAGTTCCAAAGAGAAAAATAAAACTGAATGAACAGGGCACTGCAATAATCTTCACTTTGCTTTTTAAGTATGCAAGGGTTGAACCTTGACAGGATTAGAGGACAATAATTCTTTATCAATATTGCAACCATAGAACTGCTACTTTCAACAAGTGAATGAAGGTGGCCCATATCGCTACTATACTCAGTTGATGTTCTGATGATTTTTTTCTTGTACAAGAATAAGATATTAAATTTAAGGTACTTGAACAAAAGAGATTCTTGTTCCAGATAGTGTGCTAATCAAATCATCTATCTGTTTTCTAATGGTTATTTTTCAATGTTCAACCCTTTTACAGATAAACAATGCTGGGACAAACAAAGGATTTAGGCCCTTGTTGCAGTTCAGTGATGAAGATATTCAACAGGTATGCTCCTGATCAGATGGTTATTAGAGATTTTTTGTTCTAGATAATGTCCGAGGAAAACATGAAATTTTCTCAAAAGCTCATCGTCACAAGTTGATTCTCTTAAATTGTGCAATTAGCAACCAATTCCATTGCAGGAGCAGTGGGTTATAATGTCTTGAGTTATTAAATTATGACATCATTTTAAGACGTTTTATTTGTTTGTTTGTACTTTGTTCTTTTCAAGCACTGCTTCTTACCAGAAGCTTCAAACTATGAACTGAGCGACACATGGGAGGTGCACCCTCTCTCTCATGAACAAACACAGAGCAGATAGGCACACTGTCATAGCACAGAAAATTAGCCTAGCAGAGGCTAATTTTTTTTCACTTTTCACTTTTTACTTTTCACTTCTCCTTTCATTTACCTATACAAATTCCCTCTCAAATCCTTAATCCAAACAACAGCCTCAGGTCTAGATTTGCTGGTCTTTATCAATTGTATGCATTTACTTTATTTTAAACTAGTAACTCTTCTCTCTTGTATAAATGGACAGATTGTCTCTACAAACTTGGTTGGATCTATACTTTGCACTCGTGAAGCCATGCATGTTATGAAAAACCAGAACAAGGGCGGTCACATATTCAACATGGACGGTGCTGGCTCCGGAGGATCTAGCACCCCTCTGACAGCTGTGTAAGTTCTGCAATTGTCAATTACAGTTGGAAAATTTTCTTCTCTGGTATGCAAAAACTGAGTTTTTGACAACTCATGAAGTGTGCACTTCACTAATTCCTGATCCTTTGGCCTGTAGTTATGGGTCAACAAAGTGCGGTCTAAGGCAACTTCAATCATCACTTTTTAAGGAGTGTAAAAGGTCAAAAGTGGGAGTGCATACGGCCTCTCCAGGCATGGTTCTGACGGACTTACTCTTGAGGTACATTGGGTTAATTTCTTTCCTTGAGTTGTTTTGATGAACTCATCCATTTAAAATGCAACTTTTTTACTGCACTTTGATGTCTCTAGATTTGGTCAAGTGAACAAACAAAAGTTTAACATCATATGTGAGCTCCCCAAAACAAATGTTTTCCTGCATAAGAACTGAAATAACATGAAGAACTGTTTCTGGCAGTGGGTCGACTATAAAAAACAAACAAATGTTTAACATCATATGTGAGCTCCCTGAAACAGTAGCTAGAACTTTAGTTCCACGGATGCGGGTTGTAAAGGGAAGTGGGAAGGCCATCAATTATTTGACCCCTCCGAGGATATTACTGGCTTTGGTCACTGCATGGGTGCGACGAGGTCGTTGGTTTGATGACAAGGTAAATCCTCTTAATTTTTATGAATGTTTTCTATGCTGCATGCTGTAAAGACAACAAGTTATGATATTGTTCAGCTGAAGAATATGTTGTCAGGAATTACTTTCCTGTTCAACATGAACTAATGTTGTACTGTTAGTATAATGAACTAATGACAAACCAGTAAATGAATTCACGTTTATTTCTTACTGCTTTAAATGAACCGATTACTTTAGTTTTTTTTTTATTATTTAAATTTCCCATTTCTCCTACACTATTATAATTTGATGTTAGTCACCATCTTCTCTCTCTGTCTCTCTCTCTCCCCCCTATCTTTAAATTCCTTTTTTATTTATTTATAAATTTTTCTCTCTGAGTTAATGATGTGCATTCAGGCAAAATCTAAATTCTATTTACCTTTCAGGGAAGAGCATTATATGCAGCAGAGGCGGACAGAATCCGTAATTGGGCTGAAAGCCGCACTCGTTTCTCTTTCACGGATGCCATGGAGATGTACGCAGAAAACACTTGGGTTTCTGTGTTCTCACTTTCTGTCGTTTGTGCCTTCATAATTCTTTCTAGCACGGGGAGCACATTTCCTGGCACCTGAAGACAACACTCGCAACTAGGTCTTATCAGAAACATATCGATTTCTCTCCTCTTATATTCATGAAGGAAGCTGACTGTGTTGCTAAAGTTACTAATGCAACAAAGAAGCTACGACTCAATATGACCGGTGTATGGTTTTTTTCCCTGCATCTATCTTCGAACGCCTCCTTCAACCATTGTTGCCTTGTATAGGAGTCTTGAACAGGCTCTTCTATGGGGTTCTGTAAAGAATAGCAAGCACAATTGTTATCATTTGTAGCATATTCTATTTTGAGATGACTTTGAGTTGTAACATTAAATGTCTGTGTAATCAGTAATGTGATATCATTTTTTTAAAAACTTGTCTCATTCCTGTCTGTGTTTGAACATGTAAAGTGAATTTTAAATTCATCCTTAGCAAAGATTTACATGATGTCGCCCAATGCAGTATGCTGTGCAGGGTTTGGGAATGGTCAGATATATGGAGTCTTTACACTGCACATATGTGGAGCGGAAAGTTTCGCTGCGCTTGGTTCAGTTTTGTAATCAGTTTTACGTTTTGAATTTTAAAAATTAAAAATTTGTTTGGTTATAAGTTTTGAAAATAGTTTTTAGAAAATTAAATTCAAAATTTGTTTAGTTACGAGTTTTCAAAATTTTTTGAATTTTTTTGTTTTGTAGTAAATTTTTTTTGTAATATTATAGTTAAATTTATTTACTTCTTTCATATACCTAGTTTAAATTTATTTTTTAGATACATCTAGTTTAATTCATAGGGTAGAGTTTCATATCATATTTTTATCTTTTATGAATGTTTTAAAAAATTTAACATTTGTTTTTTGGTTTTATATTCACTCAATCTGTATACATTTAAAACGTTTCATATTTAAATGTAATTTTTTATAGAATTACTAATAATGAAAAATTTACAAAAAATAAATAAATAACAATTGACCCAATTTAAAAATTAATATAATTTTAATGTTTTATGTATTTATTAAATTTAGTTTTGCACTCTTTGCATTCTTTACATTTTGCTTACTGTTTATTAAATAGCCACTTATTTGTTTACCCGAAACCAATGTATTTATTAAACTTATACGTATACCAAGGCTCACCCTATAAATCCACTAAGGGCTTGTTTGGAGCGTTAACTATTTTAATAGATTTTTAATATTTTTAATTATTTTAACTTGATTAAAAGAATTTTGTTTTGGATAATAGTTCGATTTTTTTTAGTTGATTTCTCAGTTATGAGAAAAAAAAAAAAGAGTAAAATAATTACGATTTGGATATAATATTTATTTTAGGGTTTTTTTTTTTAAGGTTCTTGATATTAAAATTTTATAGCATAAAGGATATTCAATATTTTTATAATGTCTAAGGTCCCTCAACAATATTTGCATAATGTCTAAGGTCACTCAACCTTGATCCAGAGAAATTCCAGTCCAGAGAAAATTGGTCCAGAGAAATTTTAAATTTTTCTAGAAAATCTAGAAATTTTAAATTTTTCTGGAAAATCTCAGAATTTCTCTAGTCCAATTATTCTCAGAATTTCTCTGGCCCAATTCTTCCTATAATTTCTCAGCATTTCTCTAATGCATTGACTGAGTCCAGAGAAATTTTGAATTTTCCTGGTCCAATTCTTCTTAAAATTTTTCTGGCCTAATCCTTTCTAGAATTTCTCTGATGCATTAACTGACTGTCCTGACCATATGCAATCAGATGCTCTTATGGACATTAGGTAGTACTTTGTTCTCTTTACTATCTCACTAAGAAAATTTCCAGATCTGTCGCTACTTTTAGCATGCAAAATGCCCATATTTGAGTTTTCTGGATTAAGTTTTTTGAAAACTAAATTTTTTGTTTTTCGTGTTTTTTTGTTTTTAGTAAATATTTTTAAAATTTTAAGCATTTTTTTTAACTTTTTTAGATACACCTTACTTAGATGTATCTAAAAAGTAAAAAATTTGTGAAAAAATATTTTTAAAAAGTAATAAATACATAAAAATATAAAAAATGTACTGAATTCTCATTTTTTTTTTTTTTTGTATTTTTGGTATTTAGTGAATTTTTAAAAGGTTTTTTTCAATTTTTTTTGACTTTTTAGGTATATGTACGTTAGGTATGTTTAAAAATTAAAAAATTTGCTCAAAATATTAAAAAAATTCAGTAAAAATAAAAAAACATGGAAAATAAAAAAGGAGAATTTTCTAAAAAGTATTTTTGAAAAATGATAACCAAGCATGGTGATTATTATTAAAGATTTCAATTGTTTAAAAGATTCATAAAATAAATTCACATTTTAAAATTATATACAACAAATAATCCCTTAATTTGCAAATTTATTATGAAAAATAAATTATTGTAATTATGTGTCGTATTATGAATTATCTTGCATCATTCGAACGCCGGTAAACTATTCTATACTTTTTTATAAATAGCATTGATCGCTACAAAATCGTCACTTTCAATACAAATATATCATCTAATTGAGTAATTATCTAATATCTCATATAATATTATACTTATTCACACCATTAATTAATATGGACTCCGTTTAAGTGTAGGCTTCACACTAATGGTGTGAATCACCTCAATGTGACACGAGTAACTGGAGGGCTATGGCTTCTCTCCCGGCTTCCATTGAGTTGGAAAAGTGTTGTTAGGTCCCGTGGGTTGATTTTTGGATCCACTTTCGATAATTTGAATAGTTTATATTTTTGGATTCATTAAATATATATATTTTTTTATAAAATCAAGTCGATCGGATAAAAGTAGTCACCTGTTTGGATCTATTTTGCATATATATAAAAAAAAGATGATAAGAAAATAAATGGTTCATATAAATTGATCCGAACACTTAGTTTTCGTTATACGATTGATTTGATTTTTCACAAGATGATATACTTGATAAATCCTAAAATATAAACGATTCATATCATCAAAACGGATCACAAAAGTGGATCGATTGGGCTGGACCAGACAGTCTAGTCCAATTACGGACTGGAGACAATCAAATCTCTTACCGGATAATTTCACGCGGTTTCAATCGTGGTTTGGAATGGACTTTTTTAGACAGACTTTTTTGTTAGTCAAAAAAAATAATGTTTGAAATGATTTTTAATTTTTTGTAATTGATTTGATGGTTATGAAAAAAAAATTAATTATAATTTAAATATAATATTATAATTTATTATTATTTTTTTTATATTTATTAACTATTTTTGCTCAAAACTTAAATCCCAAATGAGTTGATTTGGACCTATGGTTATCAGGTATCTTAATTTTACTATTTTATCCTATTTCACAGCTATTCTCCTGGGATTAAAGGTGGGTGCAGGTCGGTTGCAGTTATGGAACCTTCAATCCGCTATCCGTCTGTCAGATTGGCAGATTAGAGAAAATCAATCCGTATCTGTCTGCCAATCCGGTGGATGTGGATTGAGCGGATTGGCGGTTTGGCGGATAGATGCGAATCGGTTTGGCGGTTTAAAATTTTATAAATTTTTAACATAATTCCACTTGTGTACTTTCTCCAAAAAAAAAAAAAAGAAAGAAAGTATTACAGTTAATGACTTAAAAAAATATTACAATCACTACATGACTCATCCACATACTACAATCATAGTATGCCTTATCTACATAAAGTATTACAATCTGTGATTCTTAAAATATAAAAACAATTCAAACCACCAAAACTATGAATAGAGTAGTAGTAGAGATTGTATGTCTTTGTATTGTTACATCTATATCTATTTTTGAAAACAAAAACCAATCAGCATATATATCATATTTTCTATTTATTATTTTTAGAGATAGATTTAAAAACAAAAAAATATAGATAAATAATACATCTATATCACAAACAGAATATTTAAACAAACTGAAAACACAAAGTCTTATAAATTACTGGGGGTGTTCACGGTTTGGCGGTTCGGTTGCGGCCAAAGGAATCTCAAATTCGCCATCCGTCTACCAAATTGGCGGATTGGAGAAAATCAATCCGCAACCGTCCATTCGTCATCACGTATACGTCCAAAATACGGCAAATCGGTTTGATTCAGTCGGTATTAACGGATCGATATATTTGCTGCTCGCCCCTACTTAAAATAACTAAAGCCAATTCCAATTTTTATAAATTACTCGTTTCACAGCTATTCTGGTATAACTAAAGTCAATTCCATTTTTATGAATCTCTCGATTCACATATTGGATGTCTCAATATAAATTCATCATTTGTCAACACAATACGTTTAATTTTTTCAAAGTAACTTACAAGTTCACATCCATAATATTAAGACTTCACATATTGTGTTTGAAACAAGAAAAAAATAAAATAAAAAAAGGTACGATTTTTAAATAATATATATCAAGATGCTGATGTTGCACATATGAATTTATATATTTGTAAATGACAAATTAGTTCGGTATTGTTGTGCATTTATGTACTCCCGGAATTTCCCAACAATTTCTTCGTATTATGTCAACTACTAAGAGTATCTCTAATAATACTTTTTTTTTTCTAATTCAAATTATTAAAAAATAAAATAAAAGAGTTGTTTGCCTATTTTTAGGGAATTACTTTTTAACTACCTTTTATAAAAATAATCCATATTTTTTCTAATTATTTTCAATTTAACTTAATTTTGTAAATGTTGATGTGACAATGATACAAGCATATATGGCTAAAAATGAGCTAAGTCAAATTGAATAGTAGGTTATTTAAATTTGGTTTGATGACTTAACGAGTTTAAATTATGTTCATGCATTACTTATTTACATAATAAGTTTTTAACAAATCGAACACGAGTTGAGTTTGAGTAGTTTAATTATTTATAATGCATATAAACTTATCAAGTTGAGTAGTAGGTTTTTTAATTCAGTTTAGAAATTTAACGAGTTTAAAATTATATTTAAGTTTGATTTATTTATATAATGAATCGATCTCAAATGAATTTTTAATGAGTCGAACTCGATTAGCATGGTTCGTTTTACAGTCAAATAGAAATGAGAGAGGAGGCAGAGGAAAGAGGAGGAAAATTTGATTTTATATTTTAGAAAATGAATAGTGACTTTCCATATATAGAGATTTATTACAATTTTTTCAAAATTTAAGGAGGTCATTGGAGGTTTTTTATTTTTATATTATTATTAATGACTCCCTATTTTAGCTAGAAATGGATAAAATATCTATTGGAGATTTTTTAAGATGGTTTTACCATGCATACAATATCCAACTATTTATTTCAATCAAAAGTTTAGATCTATTTGGTTGGTTTTTATTTTCTTTTTATCTTTGGTTGAATTTTAAAAATATATAAACTTTGTTTCACGAAATGTTTTGAAAATTATTTTTCAAAAAGATTCAACCTCTTAATGCATATTATAAAATTGTTTTCAAATTTCTTAAAACTACTTAACACAA